CCTGGGTGGCTCAGTCGGTTGAGCGTCTGACTTTGGCTCAGGTCATGCTCTCACGGTTCATGGGTTCGAGCCCCATGTCGGGCTCTGTGCTGACAGCTCAGAGCCTGGACCCTGTTTCGGATTCTGTGTCTCCCTCTCTCTCTGACCCTCCCCTACTCACACTGTCTCTCTCACAAATAAATAAAAAAACATTAAAAATATTTTTTAAAAACAGAAAATATTACGGGTTGCCTGGGTGGCTCAGTCGGTTGAGCGTCAGACTTTGGCTCAGGTCATGCTCTCACGGTTCATGGGTTCGAGCCCCATGTCGGGCTCTGTGCTGACAGCTCAGAGCCTGGACCCTGTTTCGGATTCTGTGTCTCCCTCTCTCTCTGAACCTCCCCTACTCATGCTATCTCTCTCTCAGAAATAAATAAAACATTAAAAAATAAATAAATAAATAAATAAATAAAATTAAAAAAGAAAATATTTGAAGTCTCTTCCCTTATATTCCTAACACCCAGCTCCCACTCATCCTGTCAGCTAAAATGAAGGAAAATTTCTTATATGCAACTTCATATTTAAATACGGATGGACATAATTAATACCACATGACATCATCAACACAACTATGGAACCACCTACACTTCTAGAAGTAACAGGTCATTCCAACTTCTATCCTACATGTGGATGTATAACTGCCACCCACGGACACATCCATCCGTCCGTCCGTCCATCCATCCATCCAACCATCCTATATAGAGTCAGTACAAAGGGTCCAATGCAATAAACATCTGGTCAAAGTTCTAGCTCCACCACGTACTAACTCCATGGCTTTGGATAAACTGTTTTAGTGTCTCTAGGTCATGGTTTTCTCATCTGCGAAATAAGCGCAATCATCCTACTTATTATTAGCATAGGCTCAATGATTAAATGACTAATACGAGTGCTTGGCAAAAAATAAGCTCTCAAGAGTTAACCACCATAATGACGATAATTATAATAATTACGAAGACTATAAAAACATTCACTGATCTGCAGCTCTGTGCCAGGCTCTTAGACTAAGCAGCACATAATTTTAGCCTTCTGATTTTGCAAGAGTCTTTAGTGCGGCATTGGATTTCTCACAGCAACACCTCCAATATACCGTCCCTCTCCTGCTGGGGATGATGGTGGGCCAAGACGCGAGAGCCATTTACAGCACGAGGGACCCCCCCCCCCCGCCCCTTCCCAAAGCCATGTTTAAACAATTACCAGCATTATGTTGCAGGTACCCATGACCATAGGAGGCCAGCCCAGCACGGTGCTCATCTTGCAGAGATCTCTTTTGTGTGAGTTTTGGGTTTCAGTTGGGCAACGCAAAGCCATAGAGTGAGTCGCAAAACAAGTTTTCATAAGCTCACCCTGTCACAAACCAGGCAGGGGTTCGTGCTGACATTCCCACAGTAAGATTAAACAGCAGGCTTCGTCAGGCACTAAATACTAACACAGCTCCGACGTCAGGGGGACACTGATTAAAACTGATGTCAATAATTTATGAAACACAATATGGTCTTCAGATGCTCTTTTAAAAAAAAAAGAAGAAGAAGAAGAAGAAGGGAGAAAAAGGGCCTAGCAACCCAGGTGGTTTAAAACTGTTCATGCATTTTCCCTTGAATGTACACACACCCCCACCACGCATGGATGCTTCTTGACGCAGTGAATGTAAATGCACATGTGTAGAAGGGCATGTGAACGCTGATACATGTGGGCGGAAGAAAGTATTTAGTTATTCCGCTGAGAGCTGTCGGGGCTGTAACGTTATACATGGTCTTGTCTTTCATATTGTTTTGAGGGGTCTTTTTTTCCTTCCAGAAGAAATCCAAAATTGGATTTAAAATAAAATCGGGCTTTACGAAAGTTCACATTTACTCCGGAGAGAACTCAACCTTGAAACGCCAGAAAGAAAGCTTAACCCAAGAAAACCTACAGGAGATTTATATACATATATATGCAATTCCTAGTCATCTGAAATTACTGTGGTCCCATCTAAAACTATGTAGTCTAATAATAACTTCCTTTTTTTTTTTATTTTAGAGGATTTTTTGGGGGGGAGGGAGGAGCAGGGGTTTAACCTAGGGAAGGATGCCATTTCAGTCTATTATAAATCACTGTCTCATTATTTCATAAAGGCAAAGACAGAAGAACATAGGGACGCTTCATTTTTCTTTTTCATCAATACCAATTTTTGAAATTAGAAAACAACCGTCTTTACTCTGGCTTCGTTGTAAATAATCCGGGTAGCCTGACTTGATATGTCAACGGTGTGAAATTCACAAGATGGGATTAGGTTGGGCAAAACATATGAGCCGCTGATAGTACAAAAGTTAGTGTTTGAAGGATTTATTAATGCCTTTTTTTTTTCTTCCTTGCACAGTGCCCTGCAGTGTGTCAAAACACCTGTCAAATACTAATTCATTCACATATCTCCACTACAGGGCCTTTTCATAAAAAGCTCGACCTCTAATTGTAAATCACTTCTAAATTGTCTTTCCTGGCTTTCTCTTCTGCGGAATGATGGAAAAATCACTAAGATTCCAATTAAGCCTTTATGGGAACTTGAACCTGACGTTCCCGGGGCTATAACTACAAGATATCAGAACATCTATTCAAAAAGGAAACTATAAATAACTTTAACTCCGTTGAATTGGCTTTGCTTTTATGAGGTGATTGAGTCATTGCCAAGATTGAAAGATACTTTAACTACTGAGAATTAAAATAACTTCAGTAAAACCCAGAAAATATTGTTCACCGATGGTTTGTCATGCAGATGATGTACTTACCAGGCCTAATTAAACTTTTCGAACAAAAACACTTACTAATTACATTAGTTAATATGTTGATTGCTCAATTTGGCTTAGAAAAAAAAAAGCAGTCAATCCAATTTGTGCACATAGTCAAGGCTCCGGTCAAAAGACAAAATCCTAAACCACAGAGAATATTCCAAGTGCATGACCATTGTTCACAGCAAATGCGGTTTGAGTCTTTACCTCCAAAGTGACTGGCGGAGATGGGGATAGGTGATGACTGCGAACACCATTTGCTAAGAAGAATCTCCAAGCCAGTACAATGTTACCACAAGACCCAGTTTATTGGACTCAACGGACAGACTTGCTTTTGTCCAATTTCCACCCGGCCCTCTGACAACTGGACGGTATCTTCCGTATGCACATACGAACTCAAACTGATAGCGAAACCGCGGGAGGCCCTTTAAATGTCAATAAAGGGTTTTTACGCACAAAAGGAAGAAAAGAAAAGAGGGAGGGGGAAAGAGAAGGGATGGGAAAAACCAACATTTCTGAAGGAATTGAGCAGATCAAAGGAATTTGATTCTCAAAGACCACTAAGTCAGGGTGTAACTACTAGCTGTGTGCGGAATCCTGAAGGCCCTCTTCAATCTGGCAACCCGTCCAGGCCCTTCAACGAGGGGGATGAACAATTAGGTCTGCCAAAGCGGGACGCGGTGCAGAAATGGAGGCGGCGCCGTGCCACCGGGGGTGAGACCCTCTGCGCCCGGGTCGCCTGCCTGGGCCTCGGTGCCCACCTGGCTCTCCAAGCCACGTTTTGCACAGACTTGCTCAAAGATCTGCACCCACGGTCATGAGGCGCAAACTCTTCGACAACACCATGACAATTAATCAGAACCAGACTTCAAAACGTGTGTTTGTGGGGACCGGGGACAGGCAAACTTAGCAGTGTGCCACAGTCGGGGAAGAGACAGGAGAATCACACACAGGCTGCAGGGGAGGGGGGAAGGGGGGCATAACTATAGATTCACAAAAGATGCGCACCCAATGGCATGTTTAGGGACTAAATAATTTCCATTAAAACTAGAACGTGGGAATTGAACGTGGGAATTGGAAATTTACATCTCATACTAGAATTCTCTGGCATTCCTCTCCTCTCCCCTCCTTTTTTTTTTTTTTTTTTTTTTTTAGCTGGGGAGAAACTGATGCCTGAGAGTTTCAACTGCAGCAAAGCTGCACAATTCAGAAATAGAACGGATCTCTCTCTCTCTCTCCCTAGCCTCATTTCTGACCCAACAGTATTCACCAGTGCGAGCCTTGTCAGATTTCTTTCAGGACTTAAAACCCCATTACAAAGAGTGAAGCTGGATTCTTGGCTAATTCAAATCTGTTTCATTTCACCTAACTCTGACGCTAACAACACAACACACACACACAGACACACACACACACACACACACACATTTTGGTATACTTTTCTGGACCGGGATTGAATTATTTTAAAATAATTACCGAACTCTCCTTTGTAATCTGTAGATAGTAATTAATTTAAATCACATCATTAAATCACAGCTAACACAAATACGCTGTTCAAAGGGGGCAAAAAAAAAAAAATCCTTTTCCCCAAACTATAAAAGACAAATGGAGGACCCAGGAGTGATATAACTCGCCCCGAACTGCAAATCCCTTCGCCACCTCCCCAGGGATCTGTGGTTGTGGAGTCGGAATTCCCCGAGAACCGGGGTTCCCAACTGCGCGCCCAGCTGCCGCCCTGGGAAAAGGGGGGGGGGTACCCAGGGTCCCGCCAAACTGAAGGTAAGGCAATGGATGTTTGCATTGGGAAGGGGGGGAGCGGGTCGGTGGGTACCCAGGGTCCCGCCAAACTGAGGGTAAGGCAATGGATGTTTGCATTGGAGTCGGGAGTTTGGGGGACCAGTCGGCAAGTTTCCTGCAAAACACTCTCCCCGAAGCAGTTCTGAGGCTCCCTGACTCCGCAGAGCTCGCCGGGCGCATATCCGAGCGTCCCAGGCCAGCGCCACGCGCGCCCGGGGAACCCGCTCGCGGCGCCCCCCCCTCCCCCGCACCGGGGCCAGGGCCTCCCGGCGCGCGCCTCCCACGGCGCGCGCCGCGTCCACGGGGCCGGCGGTCCCGGGGAGCCCGCCAGCCCGCGCCCCCGCGGCGCCCCACTCACCCACGCACTCGTTGGCCTCGCGGGCCGTGGCGCGCTGCCAGGGCCGGTCGTAGTGGAACGGCTTGCAGCGGTCGCACTCCGGGCCGGCCGTGTTGTGCCTGCAGTCGCACACCAGGCTGTCGTCGCGGTCGCGCACGCAGCGGGCCGCGTGGCCGTTGCACTTGCAGCGGCCGCCCACCTGCAGGTCGGACACGGCGTAGAAGTAGGAGTCGCGCGCCAGCTCCGAGTCGTCCTCGTTCTCGTCGCCGAACGTGTGCAGGCGGCTGAAGGCCACGCGGATGTCGGTGGCCGTGACCCAGTCCTGGAGCACCGGCGAGTTGTCGAAGTCGTGCGCCGAGGGCCGCCCGTCCAGCGTGCTGAAGGCGATGAGGCCGCCGGCGAGCGGGCGCATGTCGGTGTGCGAGTCGGTGCACACGGCTTCCTGATCGTTCTGCTTGGCGATGGGCGCGCGGTGCGGCCGGTTGTACATCTTGCGGCACTGCGTGGAGTAGAATTGGAAGGGCACCCACGTGCGCCCGTAGTCCATGGACTTGTAGATGGCCATGGACTCGGGCCGCGGGGAGCAGAACTGCAGGCTCACGTAGGTCACCTCGAACTTCTTGCCGAGCGACAGCGTGAGCGTGACGTTGTGCGGGAACTGCAGGTAGTTCTCGGACTGCCAGCACGTCAGGTTGTGCGGGTTGTTGAGGTCGGTCAGGAAGGCGGGCGGGTGCGCCTTCCTGGGGTCGGACGCGTTGCAGAGGTGGCAGGAGCGCAGCCGCTCCTCGCCGCGCTCGCTCACCACGCAGTAGCGCGCCGGGGGCCGGCCGCAGGTGCTGGACACGCGCACGTCCCTGCCGAAGGCCGCGTTGACGAAGTCCGGGATGCAGCGGCGCGGGTGGCCGTTCTCGTCCGAGCAGGGGTCGGGCTGCGCCGCCTGGCCGGAGAACACGCTGAGCCCGGGCCCGCCGCGCACCGCGCCCACCAGGCACGCCACGGCCGCCAGCGCCGCCAGCGCCTCCCACACGGCGCGCATCATGCCGCGGCCAGCCCGCCCCGGCCCCGCCGCGCCGAGGAGTCGGTCCGCCCGCCGCCGAAGGCGCCTGCGGAGAGAGGGGAGCCGCGCTCAGCCAGCCCGCCGCGCGCCCTCCGCCCCGCGGCGGGCGGCGAGCGGGGGGCGCGGGGCGGTGCCGCCCGGCGGCCCCGGCACCGTCCCCGCGGCCGCCCGCGGGCCCGGGGGGCCTCCCCACCCCCACCCCGCCCCTCCCCACCCCCACCCCCACCCCGGAGCCCGCACCGCCAGCGCCGGTCCTTCCCCGGCCGGGCGGCGAGCCGGGGCCGCGGGCGGACGCTCGGCTCCCCGGCCGCCGCCGCCGCCGCCTCCACGCCGCCCGAGGGGGGCACGCCCGCGCCCGCCTGCACCCCGGGCAGCCGGCCCGCCAGGCGCCCCGAGCCCCGGCGCCCGACCGCGCGGGGACCCCCGCACGGCCCGCGCGTCCCCTCCCCTCTAATTTTACCCCCCCCCCCCCCCCCCGCAGCCCCGGGGTCCCTCCGGACCGCGTCCCCGCCGCACAGTCCGCGCTCGGGACTTTACCTCCGCAGAGGGCAAAAGAGAAAGAAAAGTTTGCCCGGCCCCGGCCGGGAGCCCGCGCGCCGGACCCGGAGAGCCTCCCGCTCGCGGCCAGCAGGCGCGTCCCGCCTCAGCGCGGGCTTGCCAGCTCCATGCCCGGCGCGGCCGCCGCTGCCCCGGCCCCGGCCCCGGCCCCGGCCCCGCGCTCGCCCGAGTGACGACGCGGCCGCCCGGCTTCCGCCGCTCCCGCCGCGCGCCGAGTGCCGCCCAGCCCGCGCCCGGGGCGCACACACACTCACGCCCGCCGGCGCGCACTCACACACACACGCACGCACGCCCCCGAAGGCGCCGCCGCCGCCGCCGCCGCTCGCGCCGGGAGTGGGGGGCGGGGGGGAGCGCGGGGGCGGGGGGCGGGGCGCCGGGCGGGGCGCCGGCCAATAACGTCGGCGAGCAGCCGCCCGCTCGCCAGCCAAGTTTTAACCCCGGGAAAGAAGAAAGTTAAAGGGAAGCGGCCCCGGGGCGCGGAGCGAGCGGGAGCGCGAGCGGGTGGGAACCGGGGCGCCCGGGGAAAGGGCGGCGGAGACAAAGAGAAAGCGAGGCGGCGAGCGCCCGGGGAAACCCCGGAGAGGGGGCTGGGCCCCGCGAGCACCCCGGGGAGGGAGGAGGGGCGGCCCGGGGACTGTCAGCCTCGAGCCCGGGCCCCGCGCCGCCCCGGGGAGCCCCGCAGGGTGCCGCCGGCCCGGCGCCCCGGGGAGCGCGCCGCCGGCGGGAGGGGGCGTGGGGGGCAGGGAGGGGACGCTGTGCTCCCTCCTGGTCCCGGCCAAACACATCTGTGTTTGTTTTCTTTGCTGCGCCGAGGTCGGGCCTTCCTCCAAGCCGGCCTGATGGCCCCGATGGCACCGCGCACAGGGCCGTGCCCCTGTGGGCAGACAGCCGGGAATGGGGAGGAGGTGGCGGAGGAAGTCACCCCTGCCTGCTCACCCCGCCTTCCTGAAGCCCACCGGGGGCAGGCGAGGAGGGGCTGCTACCATGCCCCCCCCACCACCACCACCGGTTGTCACCCTGCGGTGGGCCTATCTGCCGGGAACGCAGCTCCTTGCATGCCTGGAATGCGACGCTGGGCTGGAGGCCTGAGGCAGCCTGACAGCACCTGGGCACTGGCCGCCGCCCCTTCCGGACGGGTCTGCCGGCCTCAGGCTGGGGACGGCCCAGCCCTCCCAGGTCCCCACGCCCCCACCCCCCCCCCTCACACACACAGGATTGTATTTTCAAGGGTGCTGTACCCTGTGCTATCTCACGGGAGCCTCACAACAGCTTTGCAAAGTAGGTCTTAACTCCATTTCGCAGATGAGGAAACTGAGGTCAAGAAGCTTAGCCCAACAACTCCCAGCTAGTAAACATCCTGCCTTTCCCCCTTGTCCAGTAATTTACCCCCATTATAGCCTCATGAGGCGTCCTTGGGGCCACCCAGCTTCTCCTTCTTGCCTCATTCCCTGCCACCTTTAACAAAAGGACGGAGGACAGTGACAGCATCCTTTGGCTATCTTGAAACAGTAGCCAAAGCGCTTTGAGGGAAAGAATACACCCGCCTGAGAGTTTCAAACCAAGTGGCTGTTGGTTTGTTACTTCCGGATGAGTGATCTGGTAATAAATCTGGACTGAAAGCCAGGGTCCTGGTTCCGGCCCAAGAACTGACTTGCTGCATCATCTCCATCAAGTGCCCCGTTTTGTCTTACTGGCATCTTCATAAACTGTGAGAATCGAGGAAGAAGGGGCCTCAGGGCTCATCTGGCCCAGCTCCGTCTCCTTGGAAAACCGCCTTCCCCAGCCTCCCTGAGAGAGGGCCACCCAGGCCAGCTCTTCTAGGGATGGGAGCTCAGCCACAGCCCAGGGAAATAAATGCATTCCCTTGCACGACAGCCCGGATTCATCCTCTGCCCTGGGGGAATGCTTGTGCCATTTACCACTCCCCACGCTGTTTATTTCTGCCCTGCCTTGTGGCGGAGAGGATTCTCGGTGACTTACGAGGGTACTTACAACGTGGCAAAATAACATAAATTAGACAGTGGGGTGGAAAGAGATAAAGGAGAAGTTTAACGCTTGTGGGCTGTGAGATGCCGGCGCTGTACGGAAAGGCAACATAGCAGTTAGGGGCAATGCTTTGAAACCAGAGTGTGTGAACTTGGCAAGTTTGGCATCTTTCTGTGTTTTGCTTTCCTCATTTGTAAAAAGGGAACAATAGCATCTCTCTCATAGGGTTAGAAGCATCGAATGAGTTAACACATATGAAGATTGTATAGAATATGTGCTTAGGTATATACATACACATACGTAAGTATAACATATGTACGTACGTATTATACTTGCATAATGTACATGAATAAAGCATCTATGTAAATACACGTAAAGCCAGGCACATGATAAGTGGATGTAACAATGTTCGTTGTTACTATTAAATTGCTAGATCCTTATAGACATTTAAAATAATTTAAAGAAGAGCATTTTAGTTACATGGAGAGATGTTTATGACATGTTATAAAATGGGGGGAGGGAGCCTGGGTGGCTTAGTCGGTTAAGCGTCCGACTTTCGCTTGGGTCATGATCTCGCGGTTCGTGGGTTCAAGCCCCGCGTCGGGCTCTGCGCTGACTGTCAGCTCGGAGCCTGGAGCCTGTTTCAGTCTGTGACTCCCTCTCTCTCTGACCCTCCCCTGCTCACGCTGTCTCTCTCTCTCTCTCCTAGAAATAAATAAAACATTAAAAAAAATTTTTTTAAACTAAATTAAACTAAAATAAAATAAATAAAATAAAATGGGGGGGAAGCAAATTACAACACAATGTGCTCCCAACAGACACTGTGCACAGTATAAGCTCATTTTTATTTTAATTTATTTTTTTAAGGATGCATAAAAAGACAACGCGGTTCATTGCGGTCATCTCCGGCTAGTGAGATTACAGGTGATTTTCCTTGAGTTTTGCCTGTGCGTTCTCAATTTTGAGTGGTAAAGTAAGAAGGGGGGCTAAGAGAGGGAAGAAAACCCAGGAGGAATAGAAATGGGAAAAAGCCTAAAATCCTCCCTGGAAGGCCCTATTCACCTCGTGTGGGTGGGCCACGAATGTGTCCCTAAGCTTTCCCGCAGCCACAATTAAAAGGAGACCGTGTCAGTTCGGCAATTCCCAGCGTCCATGAGATAAAAACAGACCTATTACTCAAGAGAATTACAACTATTCTTGGTGCTAAAGTCAGACAGGCATTTCTCCCGCGGGGGGGGGGGGGGGCGGGGAGGAAGTGCATAAAGGAAACACAATATGTGGTACTGAGTCCACATCCTCGACATCACCATGGCGGTCATAGTGGTGAGCTCCATGGGACAGGTTCCGTGATGGCCCATGATAGAAGCCAGTGGCATCACCCCAAAACTCAAGACAGGAAAAGGCAGTCCGGCCAGGATGGGTCTGAAAGAGGCACATCGGGGAGCCCAGCTCACTGCCCACCCGACTTGGGTCTATTTGGGGGTATATCTACTGGACTGGCCCACAGAGCTGGCTCCAAGCCTTCCTCCTGCCATGTTGTTTCTGCCTGCAGAGGTTTTTTGGGTTTTTTTTTTTAAATTTTGTGTTTTTTAACTAACATCTACACCCAACGTGGGGCTCGAACTCATGACCCCGAGATCAAGAGTCGCAAACTCTCCACACAGAGCCAGCCAGGCGCCCTTGTCTGCAGAGCTCTTGGGTCTTGCATGGCAGCAATTTTGGAAACAGGGGTGTAGCTATTCTGTGTCAATAGCTGGCTCACGCCAGTGGTCCTGGGGTGGGGGGCAAGGGGGCACTCTGAACTTTTACTGTGGTCCCTTAGATACTAAGTGACTAAGTACTAAGTGCTTAGGTACTAAGTATATCTTCTTTAGTAGTTCCTGGTGGGCAGGACTGTTACCTTGTATCCTAGAGGTCCAGACCATTCTGGGATTCACTAGAACTTGTCTACCTCCCATCAAAACCCGCCTCCCTGCCACTGATACACTCGATTCCATTCCAGCTCCACGCAGAAGCCCAGACCAAGGCTCTGTGCCTCTTCAAAGTTTTGAAATCAGCCCTCCATCATCTTCGGTTTTATCTGTTAGCCACAATGTTTCCAGTTCTCTTCATGATTTCCCACAGGACAGTTTTCTGGCCACTCCACAGCCTCTCCTAATGCCCTCTAATTTGTCAGTGTCCCTCCCTAAAGTATACTGCCCTCTGAGGGGACAAATGAAAAAAACAGATGTCCAAGTGTTACAGGAACTTCTCAGAGTGGGGGTTATAAATACACACCCGAAAAGGCATGTCAGGCTCTAGCAGCAGGGTCCGCAGCACAAACAGGAGTTCAAAACACAACAGTGCGGCTCTTGGGTGAGAAAGCAAATTCCCAGGTGTTTCTCGAAGGAATGCGTTGGGAGGGGGAGCCGCCATTCTTGGCACCCAGCCTTACCTGGGAAGCCCGAGGATCCCTCTAGGAAGAGGAGAATGTGGCCGTTACAAGAAAATTTAGAGAGGGGGAGGAGGGAGTGGAGGAAAGCCAGAAGACTCAGGTACCCTAGAAATCACCAGGGGTATCTCAAGGAAGGAGCGGTGCCGAGCAGTGTGTCACATGCCTTCAACGGCAAGATAAGATCTAAAACAAGTCCTCTGGATTGACTGAACGGCAAGGAAGTCAGCGGTGACCTTGGCTGGTTGGCTGGCAGTGGCAGAGAGGTGGTGGGGACGGAAGCCGGGCTGCATCGGGTCATGAAAGTGGGAACAGCAAGGATAGACAATGTTCATGAAGTGTGCAAACACGTGAAAGGAAAGAGTTAGGATGGTAGGAAGGCACAGAAGGAGAAAAGATGAAGACAGATAGAATCAGCCTTGTAGAACTGGCCATCAGGCGTCCTGAGAGCATCTCTTGGTTCAGGGGAACAGAGAGTGGCAGCGTGTCCTGAGGGCGTGGGAGCAGGTGCGAGTATTGGAGTTGTCACCATAGTTACGTAAAAGCTTGATTGCGTCATTACACAGGAGAGGCTGATGCTTGCTGACCAGAACTCAAGGCCTTTCTGCGGTTGGTGACCATCTACGAGAAGGAAAGCCCCAACCGGGAAAGCCATACTCCCCCACCCCACCCCACCCCCAACCCCCAGCAGTGCTCAGAAGCCCTTGTGTAGACCTAGGAGAAGCAGAACCTTTGGATTAATCT